GTCCCGTTCTGCGCCCCCGGTGGCTGGTGCTGCACCCCGCATTGTCTGCGTCCCATTCTGCGCCCCCGGTGGCTGGTGCTGCACCCCGCATTGTCTGCGTCCCATTCTGCGCCCCCCTCTGCCCCGGCGCGGGGCTCAGGCACTCAGGTCGATGGTGATGTGCCGGTAGATCTGCGTGTCTCCCTTGAAGCTGGCGGCGAAGACAAAGTCTCGCTGGTGGACGGCCAGGTGGGCGAAAGAGCGGGGCGCCTTGGTGTTCAGCTCCTGGAAGCGGACGAAGAGGCCCGAGCGGGCATCGTAGCGGTACACCTGGCTGAAGGAGTAGTCGTTGCCCAGCACTGCATAGCGGTGGCTCCCAATGCCCAGTGGCTGGAAGACCATGGAGCCGCGTGATGGCATGTGCTGGACGTCCCGGAACATGGAGCCCTCCCAGCGCATCACCTGAGGAGGCAGAGAGGATTGTGGGTTATGCCAGAACTGCCAGCAGGGCAGAGAGGCTGGGGATTACAGTGGATGAGAAGCCTGGCTGGGATGATTTAGTTGGGGTTGCGCAGGGGGTTGGACTAGATACCTCCTGAGGTCCCTTCCAACCCTGAGATTCTATGGGTAATGCCGGACTGGAGGCAGGGGGCATCATGGGGAACAGAGAGCATGCCAAGAGAAGAGCATGATGGGGGTGGCTGAGTGGGAGCAGCGCATTATGGGAGCATATTGGGGGCAGAGGCAAAGTCAAGAGTATGCTGGGAGCAACTGAGCAGAGACAGAGAGCATTATGGGAGCAGAGCATGCTTGGACCACTTGGAGCGTGATCGGAACAGGGCATTCTGGGAGCACTGTTAGCAGGGTACACTAGGGGCATTTTGGGGGCATGCTGGGAACGGGGTGCATGCCGGGTGTAGGGCATGCTGGCACTGGGGGCACGCTGGGCGTAGGGCAGGCTGGGAACAGGAGGTACATGCTGGGCGCAGGGCACGCTGGGGCACACCGGGTGCTGACCTTGGAGTCACCAATGAAGCGGGTCAGACAGACGTAGACGTCCCCGCGCAGGCGGAAGTGCTTAACGGCGTAGACGTCGTCCATGTCAGGGATATCTGTGTGGCGTAGGAAGGCACGGCCGGGCCGGCTCCACTGGTAGACAACAGGGCGCTGGGAGCTGCTGGCCAGGATGAGGCTGGGCCGGCCGGCGAGCTCCAGGAACTCCACATGGGTGTCGCGGTGCCAGGCGTGCAGGGCCTGGTGAGCGTAGAAGCCGCGCCCGCCCCAGCGGAAGAGCGTGGTGGCGCCCGCCTTGGAGCTGTCGGCCACGGCCAGGAACCAGTCGCCGTCCACCCGGAAGCTGGCCAGGGCGTTGGGCTTGCGGATGCGCTGCGGGCCCAGCTCCTGCAGCCGCACGAAGCGCCCCGAGGCC